ACTCCAGTCTGGGTGACAGAGTGAGACTACAACTAAAAAAAAAAAAAAGTGCATTGAAATATTGCCTAAGTTACTGAGATTTTGGACACCCCCTCACATTTTGCACCTCAGGCAAGAGCCTCACTTACCTCACCCTGATTCCCACTCCATTGGAGAGGCTGGCGCTTAAGACACCAGAACGTGCAGGGCCGAGGGCTGAGGAGTTTGGGATTTTCTCTTTAGGTCACGGGTTATCAAGCTACAGCCCTAGGGCCAAATCCCCCTGAATGCCTGATTTTGTGAATAAAGTTTTATTGGAACATGGCCCCATGCCTCATTTCCACAGGGTCCAGGGCTGCCTTCCTGCTACAACAGCAGAGCTGAGTAGTCGCAACAGAGACTGCACAGCCCAGGAAGCCAATGCTTTTACTTTCTGACTTTACAGAAAAGGGTTTTCATCCTCTGACCAGGACAGTGTGGCTGGGGAACAGCCATCCAGATGCAGAGAAGCTAGACAGTGATGGCTTCTGGAAGGTTCCTCTGGGTGGGAAAGGGGAGGCAAGAGGAAGGGGTTGAGGGGCCCAAGGGGGAGGAGATCTTGAGGTCTCAGTGACAACAGGGGTTGGGATGAAGGTGGAGGGTGATGCTGTGGTTCTAAGGGGGAAAGTAGACAAGATGTGATGAACCTGGACTATAGACAAGAAAGGGAGGAGAGAGAGGAGGGGACTCCTCTGCCTTGGTGCTGGGGGGAGGGTGTCATACTGCTGTCAGCAGGATGGGGGATCCTGGAGAGAAGGCGGCATATGGGGAGGAGGAGAGACAGTTTGGCCATGCCCAGCTGAGCAATTCTGGGGCCCACCACGTGAGAGGTGTCCAGGTTGGAGACTGGATATGGAGACACCCATGACACTCACCTGAGAGGCTGAGCCCCTGACAGTGACTGCGTCTTTCATGTCTGCATCTCCCTCGCCCGCTGCAAGCCTTGCTGATTTCCTCCTGCAGGACCTCACTCTGAGTGAGAGATCAGAGAGTTTTTCAGTCTGGCTGGACTGGGGTGCAGTGGGTAGACTGACACCCCCACCCCGTTTCCTATTAGGGTCCGGAAGGGGGAAGATGGGTGAGAACACAGGCTCCCTCTCCTGGACTTGGGACCCAAGGTTCAGATCGACTGGGGTCCCACAACCAAGGGCACTCGAGACATTCTCACTGTGTTTGTGACCTCTTTCCTGCGCTTGCTTCAAACTCTTGGCTCATCTGCGTTCCTCCAGCTCTGGTCCCAGGGACTCTGCTACTGGCTCACTCTCCCCTAGGACCCTTCTCCCTCCCCATGGTCAATGCTCACATGATGAAGATGAAGCAGAAGGAAAGGAAGACCAGGGTGATGACTCCAACTCCCACGAGCACTCTAGACACAGGTGACACTCTCCCTGTGGATGGACAGGAACTGTCAGAGAGACACCCCCGGAACTGGTCTCTTCCCCTTCTGCTTTCTGGGGGGCCCTGGACTTCTGGGGGAGTCTCCCTCGCCCCAGACACAAAAAACAGGATGAGAGGAAGGAGGGGACGAGGTAGGCGAGTGAGGCGTGACAGCTGGGGGCTCCTGTCTTTACTTTCAGTTTTGATATTGTTTCACCATGGAGATACTTTACAATTTTACTTTGTAAAAGATCATGAATTACAGTATTATTTCTTTCACTCCCTGAGTTGCTTTATGTTTAGCTTTTAAAGTTTGGTGCCAAGGCAAGTGTCTCACGTGTGTCACCCTCCAAGTCCTGCAAAGCAAGGACCTTGTCTCCTTAACACACATGACCAGGCCCCAGGCCCTCCCCTCAAGACTCCTTCCCTCACCTCTCCTCACCCTCTTATACCCTCCTCCCCTCACCTTCCCATACCCTTTGCTCAGTGGGAAGAAGATAGGAACGCTCTGGGTCCAGCGAACATCCAGAACTTACAGCTGAGCACAGACCAGAACTGACCTCCTCTCTGAAGCCCCGGGGGTTGCTGGGTGGATGGTGAGGGAGGCAGGTGTGTTCTCTCCCCAGCCCCTCCCCTGACACTGCTCACTCACTCGGCAGGGAAAGGCTCAGGGAGATGTGCTGGAAGCCCAGAGGGTTCTGAGCTAGGCAGGTGAATTCTTCATCCGCAAAGTACATGCCAGGGAGCTCCAGCACCCCAGTGCTTGAGGGCTGTGATGGGCTCAGGGTCAGGTTACCCAGGATCCAGCTCAGACTGGCAGGGGGATTGCTGTTAACAGCACAGACCAGGCGCAGCGACTGGCCCTCCAGGACTGAGAAAGATGAACCATTCCCCAAGGTTGTGACTGTTGTTGAGAAAAAGACGGAGGATCAGATGGTCAGAGAGACAGAGAGAAGGAGGAAATATGCAGAAATGAGATAAGGAAGACAGACACATAGGCATAGACTGAAGGGCAGGAAACACACTGTCACCTCTCACTGCTGGGAACGTCAACCTGTTCACCCTTCAGGAGAACAATTCAGCCACAACACACAAATTTAGAGCAAACGTAAGACACAGCTCTATTGTGCTTTTAGGAACTAATTCCACTGACTTAGACATTCCATGTGAAAGGTGATATTCATTACAGTGTTTCTGTGATGGGATAAACTTGGTACCATGATGTCCCCTCAGAAGATGCCACCAACAGCCTCTGAGATTCTTCAGGTGAACACACCAAGGCTCAGGACAGCCTGGAAGGACATGGGTCAATTCTGGGGAGGGGGATGGGTATCTGGGGACAGACTCTGCTGTGTGTTTTGGATTTTAGCCCATGTGACTCCCTCACCTGTCCAGAAGGACTTAGGTCAGAACTATTGGGAGAAATAAAATTTGAGGCAGGAGATGGATGATGAGGCCCTTGAGGCTGGTTCTGCTGTGTGAAGGTCACCCTGTCCTTGCTGTGGGCTGAGGGGAGTGTGTGTGGAAGAGTCTGAGGGGAGCGAGGGGTGGATGGGGCATGTACTCAGAGGCCACAGAGGCTGAGGGCAAGGAGGGGCCCTGGGTTCACCCGTAAGGGGGTCTCTGGTGACTGGATGAGTCTAGAGGGGGCCCTGCCCCAAGCTGAAGGCCCTGCCCCCCACCCTGGAAGCAGGCTCCATCCTACCTATGTCATCTCCTTGGTAGATAGTCACTGTTAAGTTCTGAGGAGCATCTGCACAGAAAGACATGACAGATCCACATCACTGTGGGGATGGTGGGCACTGGCCATCTCTCCCAGAAGCTGCATAGTTGGGGAAGGTGGAGCCAGCATCCTCCTGACGCACTTCCCCAGCCCAGGTTCTGGGACCAAGTACCCCATGTCCAGCCATGACCCCGATCCCACTGCCCTTTGGGACTCCCCCCTACAAGGATCTGGGCATATTGTCCCAGACTCACAGGACACGTTGAGATGGACAGTCCTTGTTGTGGTCACATTGGTCCCAGGCAAGGTCACCTGACAGGTGAGGTTGGTGCTATGGTCCTGGGGCTGCGGGATAAGGGTGAGCACAGAGGAGGCAGTGCTGTTGAGGAAAAGAGGAGACATGGGTGCCCCCATCCAGGAGATTTTGGGGGGAGTTTCCTGCTCACAGGCCCAGGGCACAGAGCAGGTGCCCCCATCCAGGAGATTTTGGGGGGCGTTTCCTGCTCACAGGCCCAGGGCACAGAGCAGGTCAGATTCTTCGAGTGGCCGGATACCAGGGTCCCCAGGATGAGGATGTCGGGAGTCAGGGCTGTTGAGGAGAGGAGGACATGCAGGATCAGAGAGAGGGTCCGAGGTGGGGCCCTGGTGAAGCTCAGATTCTTGTCTAGCTCTTCCCCTGAGACCGACTCACTTCACTCCAGCCCCCTCCCAGCAAAGGGGCTCCATCCTAACCCTTCTCCGTGGCCCCATGACCTGCCCCTGTGGCCGCTCCTGGAGCCTGGACCTTACCCGTCACATTCAGAGAGAGCTGGTCAGGTTTGTAATTATCATGTGGACTGTAGGCCCATTTTACATTTCCTCTCTCCACCTGAAAGAAGTACGTCCCCTCATCCGTCCTCCTGGCGTCTGTGATGCTCAGGGAGCAGTTGTTGACTTGAGGGTCCCCAATGAGGCGGAATCGGCTCTGGGTCTCCTCCTGCACTTTTTGTCCTGGGTTGTTTGTGGCCACTGGAGCATCCTGGTCAACATTGGCCCCTTCCCAGAACCAGTAGCCATACGCTGGGTCAGAGTCATTCCTGCCACCCGGGGGGTAGGAGAAGGAGCAGGGCACAGAGATACACAGGCCCTCCTGCACCGTCACTGACTTCTGCACACTCAGTGTGTAGCCATCCCTGTGGTGTTTCTCTGCCCCCTCCATCCTCCAGAGCAGGGGCAGTAGCAGAAGCAGCATCTCTGAGGCGGGAGGTGCCGGGGCCGCCAGGGAAAGTCTGTTCCTCAGGGTTCTTCTCTCAGGAACTAAGAGCTCAAGACTCAGAGGAGGCCCCACAAGAAGACAGGGCGAGGCCAGAGCAGTGACCTCCTCAGAGGAGGAACTTCACTCCCACATGCTATCAAGGCCGGTCAGCACTTGGAGATCAACCATCCCCCACCCCAGGACCACTCCTGGGGAGCCTGAGAGGGCGAGAGACTTCCCGAAATTCACACCCCGTGAGGGGCCTGACCTCCAACTCCTTCCTCCCTGTTAACATCCTTCCTATGAGGTGACATTTTCTGCCAGGTAAAAATGAGTCCCATCTGGCCAGACCCCTGGGACTCCCATATCTGTGGAGGTCAGGTCTGTTGAAGGTGGGAGTCAGGAGAGATGGGTCCCAGGTGGGGTGACAGGCAACCTCTCCTCCCTCCCCCAGTGTCAATGCCTCCCTTCTGCACGAGGTCAACACACCAGACCTGGACACTGCCCCCAAGCAGTCACCGTCCAGTGGGAGATAACAAGTCTCCTGACATCTAATCTCCCACGAGGGCACATAATCAGGGTGGGGGCTCTTCCCATAGTTGGAGGCTGGAGGTTTGGTTTTGGGAGGACTGAGCAGGGGACATGGGGCTGTGGAGCTGAAGGTTCCATGTATCAACACACACCAAGGACAACAGAAAAAACTGGTTGCAGGAGACCTGGGAACCTAAGGTTGTGACTGTCATGCAGTATGATTTGAAGGGTCAAAAGGGACAGGGAAGGGGCAGGTTTTGAAAAGGGTGGGCATTTCTGTCTCCTCACAGCTCTCTTGGCACTACGTAGGATTTCTTCCACACTGTCAAGTCACTGAGACACACGTCCCTTAATCACTCCAGAGCATGATGGTTCTGACAACCCAAGGGCTTTGCTTCTTCAGGTTCTGTCCCAGGATCCCAAAAGCCCAGGTAGATAGGAGACATGGAACAAGGACACCAGCTTTGGAGCTGTCCCCTCAGAGTGTCAGGATTTCATGGGAGGAGAAACATGCCTTTGAATTCAACAGGAGATTTTTAAAAACTGTGCGGCTGGCCTGGGGAGGTGGGATGCTAGGAGGTGGGGCCTTCATAGAACCACGCCAGGTTTTCTTGAAACTTTTGCTAGATAAATAGAAACTATCAGGATTAAAGTGCCCCCCCCAAATATACCCAGAAGAACAAAAGTCATTCTACCAAAAAAGAGACCTGCATACGGAAGTTTGTTGCAGCTCTATTCATAATAGCAAAAACATGGAGCCAACCATGGGTGCTGCCCATCAAAGCTGGACTGGATTTAAAAAATGTGGTACATATACACAATGGAATA